TGTTTGTATCCCTACCTGTCCCTTCCGTTGTTTAAAATATCTGAGCCTAAAAATACATATCTGAATTATTATTCAGATAGCCTACCTGTATTTTTATTTATATCGGGGGTTTTGTAAGCACACTTCACCTTTCACCTCATGTGCACTTAAAAAAATGTCGAATTTGGTAGAAACTAGGCTAGAAATGAGGCATTCGCAGGCTTTTGACTCCAGCAGGGCCTTAAGTTTGGAACTGTTTTCTGGATTGCAAGGTATCTGGTGAATTTAGAGGCCAAAGGTGCTTGATTTGGTACCCACTGCTAATCAATCAATTTGATTTTAGAAAAAAAATGTGGCCTACATAGGCCCAACAAAATATATCAGCACTTTCTGAGCTAGGCCTGGGACTAAAAACCCAGTCGGACTCTGGCTTGGGCTAGCTTAGGGCTATTCTAGTTGTGGCCTTCCTGACTGGCCTTGCTGCGGCCTGATCAAAACGGGAAAGAAAACCCCGAAAAACTGTGGCCTTGTTGTACTCTGTCTGTGGCCTGTTTGTGGCCTATTTTTTGGAGTGGCCCAAAGGCAATTGCCTTAATTGCCTAACGGTTAATCCGGCACTGATAAGACAGAGTAAATACATTGAAACAGACATAGGATGGACAAATGGCACATATCATTTAGGAGATTTAGATTTTGCGGATGCCATCTGCCTATTAAACACCACAGTACTTGAAATGCAATTTTAAAAAAGACGAACTAGCAAAAGTTGCGGAAAAAAGTTGGCCTTATCATAATTGTATCCAAAACAGCGATACTACGACTATCTTAAAGACATCCGCCGATCACTCTTTGCGGAAAACCCCTTGCAGAAATTAGTAAATTCAAATACCTTGGCAGCATCATATCCAAAACTGCAGACTGCCTTGACGACGTCCACTAAAGACTTAAAATGCATGGATCGCTTTTGGGAAAATAAAAACTATATGGAAGTCAAATATCACCTCACTGAAGACGAAATTAAAAATATATAATAGCAGTATTCTCTAACAAGTTAAAAAAAAAATTAGAAACCTTCCAAACAAAATGTCTACGAAGAATTTTACTAATAAAATGGAATTGATTTATTACAAATAATGAAGTGTTGGAAAGAGATGGAATTGAAGATACCAATGATACCAACACAACCATGAAAAGAAGGAGATGGAGATATCTGGGATATGTTCTGAAAACGCCGAAGACAAGATTACCCTATCAGACGTGCTATTGGGAACCAACTGGAAAGACAAAGTGAAAACTATAGAGGCACACTAAGAGATGGGGCATTCACCCAGGGCCTGGATGTGCCTAAATTGGAGGACCTAGCCAGGGACAGACAAGCGTGGTGTCGACTGCAGCTCTTCGCCGTATGTACCTGACGGTATAGGGAGAGAGTAACAATAATAATAATAATAATAATAATAATAATAATAATAATAATAATAATAATAATAATAATAATAATGATGAATGAAATTTATATAGCGCTCAACCGCGATTAAAGTACACAGACTCTGAGCGCTTTACAATACAGTACAACGTACAACAGTAACATAAAACGTCGTGTTCTGACAAAAGAAAATTACTCCAAATATTCATCTTATTAATTTAATAACAGAAACGACTTCAGCTGACATTTGAATGAATCAAAAGATTTAATTTGATCTCTCTTAAAGTACATGGTAAAGCATTCCAGATCTTGGGGCCTGGTATTCAAATGCCCTTTCACCCATTGTTTTAAGAGGTAAAATTAGCGAGAAAATGGCCGCCAAGGCTTGGTAAATTCCAAAGCTAGAGAGTCTATGGAAACCGTAAATTTATATTATTGTGCCTTTAATCAACGTTTTCCGGTGAAATCCTCAAAGAAATGTGTTTGTAAATATTTTAATCACATAACTCAACGGATTTTGATATTATATTGCCTTCCATTTGCAGTACCCCCCTTTAGACTAATAATTTGCAAATAAGCACAAATCAAAACTTAGTAAAGATCTCTGACCATTAGTAAACTGTCTTATCATCATTGACAAGAACACAAACAGGGACAAGTCTTCATTTTCAATGAGTTTTAAAGAAAATTCTGTCCCACTTTTGTATCTTTGTGACCCCCAATTGCTTCAGAATCGCAACACAGCCTCCTGCACGCACTTTGCAGTTCAGGTCATCTCACAGTAATATGTGAGGCAGCGTGGTAGAATCAGGCTCTCGTCAATTTTGAGGCATAAGGAGTTATTCGTATCATCTTAAAGCTTGTTCACTTGTCTTTAATTGGATGAAAAAAATATCCATTTATCTTGAATACAAGTGGGGGTATTTGCAAATAAAGAAGGTGCGGGTCACCTGTTTTCAGGTGTAAATTTAGTGAGAAAATGGCCGCCAAAGATTAGTTATTTCCTTAGCTTAAGAGTCCGTGGTAACTGAAAATTTACATTTTTGTGCCTTTAATCAACGTTTTTCATAAAAATTTCAAACAGAAATGAGTTCTTTAATGGGCTTGAAAGGTGTTGAGCGAAAAAACAAAAATTTGATAAAAATTGATAAATCAGCGGAAAAATGCAAGTTTCTTCAATTTGATTATTTTGACGAGAGCCTGATTCCACCACGCTGCCTCACAAATAAGCCCTGTGGAGAACTGTCCTGTACGAACACTGACCAGTCCATGACATTCATGCAATGATCTTCCAGAAGGTGAGACAGCAAAATCTGTCAATCTTAGACAGAAACTGAAGACTCATCGCTGCCTATTTTTGTCTAATCTCAACAATTCAAATGTGCTAAAGTCTTTAGATTAGTCGCAAAACAATACAAGCACTGCAGTTTAACCGTCTTTTTGCTTCTTGAAAGGGAGAGAGAGAGAGAGAGAGAGAGAGAGAGAGAGAGAGAGAGAGAGAGAGAGAGAGAGAGAGAGAGATAGTGAGAAATACAGTCCAAAAGAGAGCGTTGGTTGTGTTTGCCTGAGATGACCCTGGCTGCGGTCAGTCCTGGAGCAGTCAGCGCAGGGCACAAAGGCGCCGGCTCGGCACAGGAGCCCCGGTGTAATTTCCTGTCCGCTCGCCTCATTGAACCCCCAGCCCACGGGTGCCAGCCTTGGCTACTCGTCGTGCTTGGCATCCCGCTCCCACCGCCTTGTCCGCCCACCTTCCCAACTTCCCACCACGACAGTCTTGTCGTAGACACACGAACCTGCTCGTGTTTTTTGCGCAGTGTTTTTTGTGTCCAATTATGTAGTTATAACATTGTTACAGGGGTTGTTGTTGTTGATATCTCTCCCCCCCCCCCTTTCTGAACAGACTTTA